CCATATAACTACAAAATCAATCAAATTCAGACACATGATGCACCTTGTGGAGGTCCCAAAAAAAGTTAGGGTTTATGAAGTTTGGGAAAAGAACGTACAGTAGTAGGCGACGAGCGGTTCGTGTTTCTGCAATTCATCCGCTCTTTGAAGGTAAGGTAGTAGCAGCTTTGCAGGCTCGTTCTCCTTCGCCATCGCTACAGTTCAAATGTGATGTTCTGTCTTTCCTTCTATCTAGCAGAAAGACGGATAGAGTATCACTTTAGGACTGTGTAGGTAACCAAGACCCATGTTTAGCACAAATTTTTATGGTGTACTCCCTTCCTATCTCTTCCTTCTCACACAACTTTTTTTTTCTTTTTTCATCTAGTCTTAAAAAAAATTCATTTTCATTAAAAAATTGTTTTTATTTTTACTAATTGTTAACCTACTTATCACATCACATTTTTTCATTATAAATTTACCTATTATATCTCATTTTTCCCCATCACATCTAAATATATTTTTGAAAAGTCAACACCAAAATACATTCTTCTTAAATACTTAAAGTTTGAAAAACGAACCAGACACTTGAATAAGAATGGAGGGAGTATATTGTTGATTTCAACCGTAGTTGTGGAACAAGAGTTCAAATATAGTGGTAACATTTTAACTAACTTCTGGAGTTCCTTTAGTGCTGAATCGCTTGAAACACTTGTTTGCAACCATGATTTGGCTCTTGGCAAGATGTCGAGAAAAAGAAGAAGGCTACAACATGGATACGCGTGAGACACTTGTTTGCAACCAGGCACTTCCTCTCCAAGGTAATTTGTCGTCTTCACCGTGTAATATACCGAGTGTTGGATCCCATCTCAGACGAGGACCGAGCTAAGAAGATATGCCCAAGTATAAACACAAAGTGTAACACCCCGAAAATAGCTAGAAGAATTAACTATGTAAATTGCCGATTTTGACCATGTGGGGCCGGTGGCCTGAAAAATAAAAATATTAGGATAAATATTTTGAGCAAACTGTTGCGTTCCATTTATTTTTCCAAGTTCAAAAATGCATTCAGCTTCTGAATCGGATTCCGTTTGGGAAACAACCCGAAATTCAAATAGAAAAATGATTCCTTCCAGAACAAATATTCTGTTCCAAACCTACATTCATTCCCCTAAGAAAATTTAGGATTCTTCTCCGATTCTGTTATCAAATCAAAACAAATATCCTCATCCCATTATCCCCACCCCACTCCATCTTGTTCTCATCACTTGACTATGGCGGTGGTGGGGTGTGTTAGATCACCCAAAGAGCATCTCTAATTCTACATAAAAGGAGATCATCCCTCTTCACTCACTCACACTCCCACACTTAGGGAAATCCCTGCAACTTTGGTCATCTTCTTCCTCTAGCTTCTTCCACCATTAATGGAGGCTTGAGAAGCTAATACTAAGTAAGTGATTATACTCCATTCCTATCGTTATTATACTCGTTTTAATGCCCTTCTCACGTTATATAGCTCTGTAATATCAAGGTTCGAAGAGAAGACCTTAAGACATGGAAAGGTAGAAGTAGATAGTGACGGCTGTTCGTTGAATGCACGTGAGGTTAGGATCATTGTTTTCCCAACGAACTCTAAAGTCTGTACCCCAGACTCATTCCGATAATAGATTCCTTAGAATAATTTATAATACAAGATTTCCTATACCTACAAGTCATTCTACGATTTAGTCATACCGATAGTCTCAATAAAACCCTCCACTTGATATCCATGAATCATCGACACAATGCTCGAAAATGTGCCAAAAAAACCCTATTATATCCTAAACAACTTGGTGATTGATAAACTTGTTTTACACCTATTTTAATCCTCACATTTAACATACTTTTGAATCCATAAGAATACATTTTCAAATTATTAAGCATATATTTTTAGTTAAAAGCTATCTTTTTAATAATTGTGAAGTAATAGAATTGAATGGGCCAAGAAAAGATAAAATATATTTGATTTTGACAAGAAATTGAATATATCTTCCTATTAAAGCTAAATTTAATGTTGGCGTACAAAGAAACAGTGTTCAGAACCTGATTTTGAGTCAAGAAGAATCAACAATAGAAGGTGGGTTAATAGGCGGCCGCAGGCCTGACCGCTAGTCAGAATGCGGTGACGAGTATTCTTGCATTCAAAGCGAAGACATAACAGCAATGAAGCACCGGCAGGCTGGCAGACACCCGTCTGCCCGCCCGCCTACCATTGACAGTCGCAAGAATAACCTGGTAGAGGCGGCGATGGGCTAATAGGCACCCCGCATGTCTACCCGCTTGCGGATTGTCTTCACCTATAAAACTCTGTGTGGTCACCCTCATCCTAGAGCCATTCTTGTTCCGTTTCTTTCACTTTTGGGGCTGAAGTATCCCCTTTTTCTTCTCCAAAAATTATGTTAATATAGTTTTTAGTAATTCACATCATCAAGAGTCAATTTGTTAGCTTTGGAGCACTGTAAGTTTCTATATATCTTCATTATACTTGTTGTTTATCTTTTAATAATAAAATATTCATTTCTTATTTTCAATGTTGTTGATGAATGATATATCTTTCATATTTTTATATGTTGTTCTGCTGATATTGAATGTTTTTATTTAAGATTATGAATTGGTAATTTTATATGGGTTAGGATTCCGAATTAATATTTTACCAATTTAAATTCATCTATTTATTAGTAAATGGATTAATTGTTAGAAAATGAATTAAGTTTTATTGATTAATAAAATTGTTTTTAAATATAAGATTAGAATTTATATTTTAGATTGAGACCTAGAATATGAGATATATTGAACATAAGTGCTACACATTTCATTAACATAATTGACGATTTTAATGGCTTTAATTCTTTATTCCTTTGTATCTTTTAAGGACTATTAGACTAGAAATTAGCTTGTGATAAATAATAAAACTATTTATTCCCTTTGTCACTCCTGTTGAGAACGACCCGAGTCCAACTCGGTTTTTTACTTACTGTTGTACAAAATTCGTCAAATTTCAAATTAAATTATATATAATTAATATCAACACTTTTGGAATCATCCCGTAGCTTAAAACGGATCCAAAAATGCGTAGGAACTGTCAGGGGATCGATCACCTAGACTGTGATCGATCACCCGATGTTAGAAAGCAGCACCAGAAACATTTTTTAAGGACGGTGATCAATCACAAAGCTTGTGATCGATCACCTGGAATCATTTTTGATAAAAAACAATTTTTTTCATTTCGGGTGATCGATCACCCAATGTTCCAACTCATATTTAAACTGTTTTTCGAATATTGTATGGATGATAAATCTTTGGTATTTGTTTGATTGGTTTATAACCATATTTTAACTTCTAAAATACTGAAAATGAATATTTTGGACTAGAAGAACTATAATACCAAAGTCGATTATGTCACTTCATATTTTCCAAGGTGCTAATAACCAAATGATCTTATTGGATGGGTGGACTAGAAGAATTATTAAAGTACTATATTATATGCATTTAGATTTGAGGTCATCATATGCTCTAATCTAGGACATGACTAAATGGTGGCTAACTTTTAAAATGATATTACTAGATGGTTAAAGCTAGATAACCTCTGGTATTGAATTATATGGACTTCTTGTTAAACTTATATGATCCAATCCGTAAATGGGATGATTATGATGGCGGCACTAATAACCAAAAAGGTATTTTTGGATAGTTTAAATCTAGATTAATTCTAGTCGTAAATAGTATGGATTTTAGCATATAGATGTCGGCAATATTAGGAGTTGAATATATACGTACATAAAGTCCTAGAACCGGTCAGGCACCTGGGATCACTCAACTCGTGTGTTCGGGACTAGAAGAGAATTTATACCTAGATTGTCTTCCCCCGACTCGATAGGGCCCGCTTCATCGATGCGGACCCGGTGGGAGGAGCATCGTCAAACTCCTCTGAGGCCAAAAGCTTAGCTCGCGCCGGGGTTTCTTGGTACATCGTCAAACGCCTCAGGGAAGGGCTGCCTGGAACATGGCCATAAAGGCTTGGTCATCCGCCCCGTGTACATCTCGCGCTTCCTTCTCCCAACGGACTATGAAGTCGCGCACCTTCTCCCCTTGGCAGATGCAGATGTAGAGGAGATGGGAGTAAGGCAGCCTCTTCCTACGGTTGAATTGGTTACAAAAATGGGTGAGGAGCTTTTGTGCTAAAATGCTCTAATCATCAATGGTTTCTTTTGGCAGACGATTTAACTAATCACACGTCGAGCCCTTCAGCATGACGAGAAAACATTGCCACTTCACCTCATTCGGCACCGCCGTCGCTTCCATGGAAGCGTAGAACTTTGACAGAAGGTTTTGCGGGTTTGTTGCCCCATTGTATACTTTGATCTGCCATGAACGGAAGTTCGCCAGTAGAGGCACCAACATGACGCGCGGCGGGAACGGTGTGATTGTCCTCAAAATTAGCTTGCTACATGGGGATTTTGTCTATCACTACAAAAAACTGGAAAAATGACGACGGAAAAATCCATTGCTACCTCTTGGGTGACGGAAAAATTCCATCATCTTTTTTTCGTTAGTATTTAATATGGCGACGGAATTAAAAATTGTGTCGCCAATGATGACGGAAATTACTACGGATTTGGAGACGAATATAGCTACGAAAATATTCGGTCGCTGCATTCGTCGATAGAAAAAGCTATGGAATTATCAATTATGACCACTTGGCGACAAAATGGTATTTAATCTCCATTTCCGTCACTGAAATGGCACGTTCTGCATTGGGATAGTATTTTTTATCCCATGCCAATCACCAAATATTTATATAAGATTCAAGAAACCAGAATCACATAAAATCTTCAAAATGGGGACAATAATGTGAATAACAAATCACATTTAACCAAAATTAATAATCAATCATATGCAGTCAACAAATTCGAATAAAAATACAAATGTTCTTAGTCATAAACATATCAAGCTCATGCAAATCTCATTCCTCTGGTGCCTCCATAACCATGATCATTTCATTGTGGGATAAGTTCTCCATCTCCTCTTTAATCGATAACAATTCACACGCATGAGATTCTCTGATGTCATCAAGCTCCTCCCTCAATTTTTTTAATTTCATCATCACGAGGATCCCACATTGAGCTTGTGCTAGAACGTCTCGCCTAACTTCCATCCATTCTTCGGAGGCTCCGTGCAAGATCTCCAAAACTGTGAACACGATTCTTTGTATCATGTCAACCAACTGTAGTGATCTAGATCTCATCCGGTGTGACATTCAAGCCCTCCTCACGGACGGCCTCTTACATAGATGTACAATCACGCTGTAATACACGAAACATAATGTATAATCTTTTTCAATAAAATATGAATTTAAATTTACTATACATATATACTCTCATTGTCACTTACCGAGACATTTTTTAACTTCTCATTTGTGTACGTCTTCTCATTGTATGTCTTCCCATGGAAAGCTAATTTATGAATCTACATTCTAGCCCTCCTCACGAACCTTTTGTGTTCCTTTCTTCTCTTTTCTAATGGCAGAGAGCCAATTAGTGTATCGCCTTCACACCTTAAATAGCCAAGCACGATGTATAGTCTGCTCAGAAATGCGACGGTATAAGCAAAAAAGCCAAGCACGGTATCTATTTTTCAAAATGTAAGAACAAGAGCATGATATAAAAAACCCTAACTTAAAAAAACTATTTCAATACACTATCTATTTTTTTATTAAATTGCCATCAATAGTTCTACATATTTCAATAAAAGAGTAATCTATAACAATATTAAATTCAATTCAAGTAGATTGAACATATTATTTAATTTTTTGTAGTGTAAGAGTTACGTACCTGGAAGTGGTCAACTGCGGCGGCAGGCGACTGGGGGCACTACGACAGTGACGTAGGGGCGGGAAGGTGACCAGGATAGACGACCAGCGTCTGGCTACTTCGAAGTATCGGATGAGGAGGGAGACAATTTAGGTCTGTTTCGCTGAAGTCCCCGAACCAATTCTTTAAATTTTTGTCCTGTAAGAGTTACGTACCTGGAAGTGGTCAACTGCGGTGGCAGGCGACTAGGGGGGCTCTGACGGCGACGTGGGGGCGGGAAGGTGACCGAGACGGACGACCAGCGTCTGACTGCTTCGGAGTATCGAGTGAAGAGGGAAACGATTTAGATCTGTTTCGCTGAAGTCCATGAATTTAATATCTGTTATCTACGCGACGAATATGGCAATCGAATAATTCCATCGCAAGAGCTAAAGCGCAGCATCTTGACTAAGTGAACTGAGCGACTGAAATATTCTGTCATTAAAGTAGCCACTAACCGGGTCCGTCGTCCTTTTTGTCGCCGAACTTTGCGGGATGGACTTCCCGTGTAGATATAACGACAGTAATCTAATTCCATCGTTACCTTTTCTAATGTAATGCATTCCATTACCAAAACCATCACTCACGATGTCTGAAACATTTTCGTCGCTACAATTCGTTGTTCTTTTCGCGTTTTTTGTAGTGTCCATCTTGCGTTTGAGCTCAGCCACTTCCCTCACAAGAGTGGACATGCCGTGCTCTTCGGTGTCCGTCCTCCATGCTATTGTGGGGCTCCAGCGTGTTCCTTACCCCATCCGCCGGTATTGGGTTCGCTCATCTCGGTGATCGACCACTCACTCGGGTCGGCGGTCCGAACGTGCATCCGAGGTGGCTAACTCCTCGGAATGCCTCCGCTTTCCCTCTAAATGGTGGCGGCGTAAGTCATCTCAGCGAGTAGAACGCCCTTGTTCAAGCCAGTTGAAGGCCAACACGAAGGCCTCCTCTCCCAACCTTCACTGGAGTCTCCTTCCTCGGGAACATCCTCCACAATAACTTCTTCCACCACCGGGGCTTTACCGGCCCTCTTGCTTCTTCGGATCTTCTTCCCCTTCACCTGGGAAGTAGTGGCGTGTTTGGTGATGGGGGTTCTCGGAGCTAGGGTGGCTCTAGTGCCACGCCCGCTTCCGCTGAGGGCGAAGAGCGCAAAAACAATAGCCTGGAGCCAGGATCGCATCGGGTGCCAAGGTGATAACATCGGTGCCATTACCATTGGCTTGGTTGTTTCCCTCGCTGTTGATGTGGCTTGGCAGCGAGGATGTTGCTCCTTATCTGCACCATTCTCTTTGTTTGCGAGTTAACATACGAGTGTCTCTTGCTCTCAATGAAAGCACCAATTTGATGGTAATAAACCACCACATAGGCTGACCGTGAGGTGGGGTGAGTTGAGCAAGTAAGGAAAAGGAATAAAGAGAGGGGGGGAGAGAGTATGTGTGTGTGCAAGGATAGGAGAATTATTAGCTTGGAAATCGGATCCCTTACAATGTTGTAACTTAAGGCTATTTATAGCCCCTTACTATTACAACGGTAATAACCGTGATTGACATTCATTTGTCGTTTAGTCCTTGTCATTGCTATTCGTGTTACTTGGCTCTCTATGAGGTATGCAAGACCTCCAATCGCCTTCTGGCACGCTCACTTGGTGGGGGTGGACTTTGGTGCAGATTTTGTCGCACCGAGCCAAACTGCTGGGCTCGGTGTGACCGAACCGAGTCCATGCCGAGTTGGATTAGTGGGACTCGTTCGAGCTTACTTGGGCATTGGACTATGGCCCAAAGGCCCAAGATCAGCATGACATGGAGTTACCCTCCGTCAATTATAATTAGAATTAGGGGATTAGGATTATAATTTATATTAGGGGATTACGATATTTGTTACGGGATTAGAATTAAGATTAAGATTAGTATTAAACACATTAGCTTGGGTTAAATGGAAGTTTTTCTACATTAACTTCTAAGTCCAACAACTTTTATGAAAAGGTTCGGGAATTAAGCGTGGACATTGGGTTCACGGAATCACCACTCATTGTATTTTGATTGAGTACTCACCTTAAACACTTCTCAACTGTCCTTATGGAGAATGTACCTCTTCGATGATTAGCCTTCGAGCTGGCCAAGGGAGGGAGGCCTAAGTTCATTGGCCTAGGATTTATATTTCATCAAATTGGTGCTTTCATTGAGACGGTTGAAAACAAGCTTAATGTAACTATTATTCCCTCCATCCCAATTTAAATTGCCTGTTTCGATTTACGATATTTGACTGAAGTTATTTTTAAATTATTTTATATGAAAAACGGTATAGAATTAAAGAATAAAATGCCTAACAAAAAATAGCAAAAGAAAATGAATGAAATTTAATATTATGAATAGTAAACATACAATTTAATTTGAGACAAATGGAGTACATTTGAGAAGATGGTGGCTACCAATAGTTAAAGAATTTAATTTCACTGACATAAAAAGGTTAAATTTCGATAAAACAAACTCTTTCATGGAAGAGAGGGTGTACAAAACCTCCCACAAAACTACATTGGCATGCACTAAGCGAAATTATTACCCACTTAATCAGACTCCACATCAATTGTCAATTATCATTACAACACAAACGGCTACACGCTTCGGATTAATATAAAGTCAGTAGTGTCTATATATCTCTACAACAGTAACTAACACACTGACGATACCACACCGGTATGAACAGATGATCATACAGACCTGACTGGGATTGTTAGATGATGATAACTACGGAGTTGATGGGATGGTAGGATCGGAACCCGATATGTGGGAGCACGCATCGTCTTTTGAAATGGCGACATAGTTCAGAGGAACAGCAGCTGGCCTGGCACTCTCTCTCCTCACCTCTTTGGTTGTTGGCCTGGAGCCATTTTGAAAAGAAGAATTGAGAGACAGTCTTCTGTTTGCAGACCCATTGCCATTTGCTGCCCGGGGATGGGGACCCCCCACTGCCTTCTTTGTACTGTTTAGTGGCCGAGCTGGGCTTGGAGTGGAGCCAAACATTCCTTCTTGTTCTTTGTTCATCTGTTCATGGAACCTCTTCTGGTCCTATAGCAGAGATCATGTAGAAAGAGATGCAAATATTAAGCACAGACTTAGAGAGATTGTGTTTGGTTGGAAATGCTTTGGCGTGTTGGTGTCTATATCTTGATGTTTTTTTGAGAGTTTTATAGAAATTGAAAAGCTGATAGGATGGAATAAATATAGTTCAGATGGAATCAAGATGAAAAAGATGATGCCCAAAGTACATCGTTCCACAACACAAGATTATACATACCCTCAATCTTTTTTTCTCTTCTTCTCTGTCCTGCCTGAGCATCATGTACTCATCTAGCATGGCAAGCAGGGGAACACCATCGTAGGTGAATGTTGTGCCACGTTCTTCTTCCCATGCCCGAGTTTTATTAATCAGGACTTCAACAAGAGCTACATAGAAAAAACAACGAATTAGACACTAAATGATGGGCATAAACATTTTTTTAGAGAAACCAATCACGGATGGGTGACAATGAAAAATGGTACAATCCGGGCTTTTCACAATGTTAGCAAGAAACTATCACTAACAGCTAGAAATATCGTCAAAAATGTACCTGGAATTTTGTTGACCAAAATCCGTGCTTTTTCAGCACGCTTTAAGTTCAAATGTGCGCCCCTGCTTGCGTTGTACCTATTATCATCCTGTTCCACAATCCACCAACAGTAACTCTTAAACAGTGTAATCTCTAAAGAAAAGCCTCCTCTGCTAGCTACCCATGCAACAAAAGGGGCATACTCCCTCCATCTTCATAAAACTTTACGGTTATTATTCACAAATCAAATTATATCTTCTTACATATTTTTATTGGTAATTTGTAAAAATAAAATACTCAAGTCAACTTTTTTTTGTAGATTTTTAGATGCATCATCTTTAATATATAATTTTTTTTAAAGATTTGTACTATTATTTAAATAAAACAAATTGAAAATAACTTAAGTCAAGCATCGTTATCCCTGCGTCAAGTTCAGTTGGAGATGAAGGGAGTTTATTATCTTTTCTTTGTAGGCAAAAGCACATACTCCCTCCGACCCACCCCAAAAGGCACTCTTGCAGTCTTGCCATTTTGGTTGTCCCGCCCAAAAGGCACTCCTACCAAATTTGACACAACTAATTTATCTTTTCAATTACTTTTTTTATGTTTTCAATTACTTTTACACTCTCTTTCTTACTTTTTCAATCACTTTTACACTCTCTTACTTTGTCAATCAGTTTTACACTCTCTTTCTTATTTCAACCTATCCACCCTTGCCTTTTCAATCGCTTCTAAATTGCAGGCTGTCATTGGGATAATTGCTCTGCAGTGACGTGCATAGTTTGTAAGAACAAAAAACCAGTAATACAAAAAGTTAACTTTGGTACGAAGCATATGATAGGAAAAGGATAAAATGGATAATTAAACATTTGGAGGAAAGAGTATAACGCACCCGATTATAGTCTTCAAGCCAGCTTTCCTCTTCACAAGCAGACATCCATTTCTCTACTTTATCCAATATTTCTTTTCTACTTAGGGCCTCTTCTTTCGCTTTGAGTATCTGATGGTCCATATCAGCCAGTAACTCTGTGGGCTCAATATTGCCAGAGTCAATTAGTGACAATATTTTTTCTCTAGCAGCTTCAGTATCAATTTCAATGTGAGCAAGGGCAAAGATTTCTTCGAGCTCAGCCTGCCTTTTAAAAGCTATCTCCTTCATCTTGCTAAACTTCAGTCGGTCAAGTCTTTCAACTTCAACTTCAACCTTAAGTAGAAAGAGATTAGTAATGATCAGCTTTTACGGAGCAGTTGGTGGTCTTTAAAGAAATGTATATTTATGTATATCATCGTACTTGTTCGATCACATCCAAAGTAAGAGCACCGGGAATTGTCACTTCATCCACTGAAGCTGATATGTTGCAAGTGACATGGTCAAACAAACTCCTTTCATCGTCAGGGGTATCCATCAAATTCCAAAGGTCAGTTAGCTGAGTGGCTAGTTCTTGGAGCTGCAAGACATAGCGCCCACAATTTTAGGATGCACTTCTTTGGAAAATAAAGCACACAGAAACAAATTTAAAAAAATGACTGACTAAACTGCCACATTACATTCTATAAACATCATGGGGTTATTAATTCAATACACATCAATCTTATAGCACACTGGGCACAAAAAAAAAACCATTTGACCGTGCATGTTACCCAAACAATATAAATCTGTTTGTACAAGTGTATGAGTATTCACCTTTTGCAACCTCTGTTTTTTATCTTCTTTTAGAGATAAGACAGTCTTTGCCAACCGTGACAATGTGCCATTGCTAATGCTTTTTGATTGTACACCAGTTGTATCGTCCAAGCTTGGGTGAACTTCAGTGACGGTGGAAAAGAAGTCCATCCCAAGGACAGCACAAAGATCATGCACTGTGCTCACAAATTCAAGGACCTTGTGCAACCTCTCACTCTGAACAACATAGAATGAAAATGGTTGTTAAAACTGAGATGTGTCAAGAGTCAGAGAAGCAAGCACATTCTCTAACTATGGTATCTATTTATATACTGTCTTCTTCACCTTTTCTTTTTGAAGTTCTTGCAACTGAGCATGAAACTCCTCTAACTTTTTGAGTGACAAATCAGTTTCATCCACTATCGGATGCTCCAGCTGGTCAGTATTCCCTGAAATTTCACTGCTTATCTTTTGTATTTGTGATTGAACATCAAGGAATTCCTTTGTTTTTTCCTCCTTCTGGGCCCACAGATTTTCTAGGACAGGTGCTATAGCTGCAAGTTGTTCCTTGATTGTTCCTGATGTCTTGTCAGGCTGCAAATAGTAAAGACACAATAAAAAAGTAAAAGGGTACTTTAAAGTTGAGTATGAACTGTTTAAGTCAAAATGTCAAATCATAAACATAGCCACACACAATTCCAGCATATGTCTTCTCCCCAAGTGCTGATTGAAGTCTAGCAAGTTCAACTTTGCAATCTGCAAGTGTCTGAAGAAGATGAGTCCTGGACTCCATAGCCTGATCAACCTTTCTCTTATACACATCCAAGCAATCTTGTTCTAACTGAAGAAGCATCTTGTCCCGCTCTTCGTCGCTTGTTCCCACCTCATCCCAGATTTGCTTTAAAAATAAAACATGATTTTTTTAACAATCATACTATGAAAGACAGTGAAGAAATTTTTACTGATCTTATCTCAGCACCCAAATAACATACACATTGGAACTTTATTACATACTCCCGCTGTCTGAATTTAGTTGTCCACTTTCTAAAATATCTCATTTTTAAAAAAATGAGTTTAAAAGGTCAAACAAGTCTTTCAAATGAGTTTGTCACTCATTAATGTTTACAATACTCATTCAATATGTCTAGGTTATTTTATAGACAAATCATCACAGTTTCTCCATTGAATATGGAAAGTGGACAAGAAATTGCAAACAAAAGGAAACAA